AATATTCGTACAAGAACAGTTGTTCAGAAGAATATATTATTATTTCATGYATATTATTATTTCATTTTCCAAAACTGTCATTTTTGCTTCAAATCACTGATACATTTCGCTATAGAAACATTCAAATTATTGTACCATTGTTACCTTTGTGAACTTTGACTGCAGAATCTTGCATTTCTTCATCAGTAGAARCATTGTCATTGGTATTTGGCTGTTGCAACTCTGCATTGTTCTGCTCTTTTTCGTCCGTCATATTGTGAGAAGAGTCAGTGTATGCCTCGTCTCCTTCCATCCCTTCCAACATACTTGAAGCACAAAGCTGACTTACTTCACTGTCAGCTCTTTTTAAATCATTCTCAGCATCTTCCTTGAGGATCTCTAAGCTACTCTCACTTGCAGGTTGTTGCCTAGCATTATTGGCATCCTTGGTTTCTTGTACCTCTGTTGAAGTCATGGGCTGGCGTTTCCTGTCATCATGCAATATACCTTGCCATGGTGGAAGGGCACTTGCATTTCCATTGATAATTAGTTGCTGCAAAACCAAAAGTTTCAAAACAATCATAAGGAAATAGAAAACAAATGGTATGACTATTTTTTACTATAAAAAAGTTCATACCTTATTAATGCAGCGCAGCARTCTACTTCTTAGCCTTGCTACCTTTCCCTGRCTTGTGATCAACTTAGAAGTAATATCACAGCTTTCACTAAAAAATTAAAAAAACTTAAAATAATCATATCAATCACAATTGAATACCAAAGGCATCTCTCATTCAATTGCAACATTTGACTACTCATTCATTAAAATTCATGAAGATTTGGAGAATGTTACATGGGTGAGTGATCCCCTATATTCGCCATATATCGTATCGTTTTCAGCGATTTTACTCTGGAACAGTGAGACACTTTCAGCGGTTTTTCTCTGGAACAGGGTCAGGGTTTAATTACGGAATTATGAATGCCGGGTAAAAATTCACAGGTAAAAATTCAGTCTACACGCAGGCTAGTGCTGGATTTTACTCTATGACAGGGTATCGTTTTCAGCAATTTTACTCTGGAACAGGGTATAGTTTTCAGCAATTTCACTCTGGAACAGGGTCAGGGTTTTGAGGTCCCAGTGGCACACCCCCACCCAAGTTGGCGGAGAGTACCCATTTTTCAAGGGAGTCCTTCTCTGACTGGTACTATAAGTAATATATACAATATGAGCGGGTGATCTGTATGAGGATTTAAAACAGCGAGCTGAAAGCGAGCTGTTTTAAATCCTCATACAGATCGCACGCGAATATTGTACATATTACTTATGAAACATTAAGGCAAATTAGCTCAGGTTTTAAAGAAACTTTTGAAAAAAAATTCAATCTGACTGAGAAAATCAGAGTAAAAGTTTATGCAAATGAACAAGAAATCTGTATGTAATATACAACTCTCTTCATGGGCTATGATTTCTATTGTGTTTTGCCTTATGAATATTAATGAGTTTTATAACTGCTGTTATTAAGTCTACTTACCAATTCATTTCTGTTAAATATTCAAAACACTTGACCAGTTGCACTTCAATGTCCAGCTGCCTTTGTAGTCCATACACAGCAACCTCCAAGTCCTGATTAGTTTTATCAAACGTAAATAGCAAATTTAATTAGCTGCATATAACACTTTTAATTAGGTTACAATACATTCCAGAGTTTTTAAACTTAAAATGTGCTGTTAGTTCCTTCATGGGTAAGATTGGAGTTTTTTTGAAACTTATTTCCATTTCTCAAGACTACTGACAAATTATGAAAAAAAAAGATTGTTTTGTTGAGATAGGGAAAAGGGACGCTAACTGTAGACCGTATGTGGASGATTTAAGGCATGGATAAAATGAAATGTACTGTAGTTGAAAATTATTTGTGTTTATTATAACAGTATATCATCTCACCAAGCGGCTTACTGTTTAAAATCCTCATACAAATCTCCTGCCCATATTTTTATTTATATAATTTTTTTACTTTAAAAACAATTCCTTTTTCCTTTATAAAAAGTATCAATTTTCATTTCCTTACAACTTCTGATAGCTTTTGAAGAAAATCCATAAACACTGTATCAYTGCAACTTGAGATCACATCACTTTCTGGCCATTTCTCCAGTACTAATTAAAAAATGATAAAAAATATTAATAATTACTTTTACAGGGTTAATACAGGTCCTGGAAAAACCTGGAAAGTCAAGGAATTTTGCAATGGTGTGGGAAGCCATTGAAAATATTTTTGTTTGTGATCTTGYATTACATGATGATTACTAATTTAAAGGCTATTTAGGAGAGGTTAACAGGTTCCTGGAAAAAAATATATGAAAACAATTCTTATGTCCCAGCCAGATGAAAGTAACAAGTGGTTGCCAGCAAGATACACTCAGAAATGACAGTTTTTCCTAGGATTTATATAYATTCAAAATTTCCCAATTAAGGTCTCCAATACTTTCAAAAGAGCACAACAAACCCTGTTGTTAGTGGCAAAAGTTGGTCAGATAATATATATAATATAGATATACATGAAATTGACATTTTATGATATTAAATAATTTTTTTTAACAAATTAATACCAAAAAGTCAATAATATTAAAATCCAGAATAAATCTGTTGTTGATAAATGACATCTCTAACTCTTACCATTTGCACTTGTTAGATAAAGTTCCTTTAACTTTTGTGCTTCCTCTTCTACTTTAAGCATAATGGCAAACACCCTGTTAACCTRTTGTCACAAAAATAGCTTATTGCAACATAAGAMTGAATATCATGGATAGCAACCCCCGAATTTTATAAATCGGGAGAAATTGCCACGATTATGTGTATGACTTCACAMAATGTGAATGACATCATTCATGRCSTCAGAAATGAYGTCACATTCTGTTTCAACCAATGGGAATAGACATTGCATAATCAGTTTATAAATTTTTCAAGAGCGCGCATACGTAAGCAATGCCTGTAGTTATTTTGTTTAAAATATGGTAGTCCGTATCGAAATATCGGGGAAATGCTGGCGACATAAATTCATTGAAGGTTTTCTTTGTAAATAAAAATGTACAACGATGGTCAGTAATTAATACCATTCTATGAAAATATCGTGCTATCCGGGAGATTTAGGGCTAAAAGCTTGAGACCGGGAGATTCGATCTGAAATCAGGAGTCTCCTGGCAAATCCAGGAGAGTTGATGTCCCTGAAATATCATTTAAACATAACAAGCAGAAGTGTGATTTCTTGCACCTCATCATGTGATTGAAAGGGACTCAAGTTTATATTTCCAAACCTCACAGATGTTTTTATTTATAATATTCTAAAAAATATACATACAATATGCTCACTCGTGATAGATCTTGAAGATAAAATGYGTATCTCAGCACGCCCTGTCATATCGTCTATTTATAATATAATATTTAATAAAAGCAAATTGTGTTTAATTTTATTAACCTCAAATATTATAGAGATACCATGAATGCGTTATTTTCACTAGTGAAATGGAGAAATATAGGTATTTTATTTAAGAAATATAAAACGGCGCACATGTCTCTGTCCTCTGATATAAACATGGTGGGAGTTGAAAAACATGACAGAGGCAAGCTTAGAAACACAAGCATAGTGAGCCAATCAGAGCAAACGTATCCAGCCAATTGAGAGCGCACATTATTTATATCAAAAATTTTATAAAGATAATTATTTGATAAAAATAAATATTTCAGTTTGGATATTTCAGTTTTCCATATTAAACATAACCCTAAAACAGAGTACCACAAATCAGCAATCGATGCAAGCAGAAATAAAAAATTAGTAATCGTCAAAGAGCCTTACATTTAGGAGTGGGAATCCTTGCATGTAGAAACTCTATAGAACTGCATACTAGGATTTTGTAGTCRCATATCTCTTATGTAACCTAGCTGAGTATCAGGAAACATCTTTTTAACAAGGTAGTGTTTGGGGGCCATGGGATTTTCAGTGGTAGTGTCATGCAAAATATGTACAGTTCATAGCTATTATCAACTTATCAAATTGTCATAAGSTTAACGATTTACAATTTAGACCAAATTAAATAAGCTTAAGCTCTTATTAAGTTTTATATTTAAGCTTAAATTACTTATATTCATCGAAATATTTTCGAGTTTATAACCAGCTACGTTTTAAAATCCATTTGACCCTCGTTCACTTGCTATTTTYACGATCGCATTCAATAAACTTAAGTCAAGTTTGGAACGTAAGMTTTAAAGCCAACCAGGACTAATGTATTCACGGTTTTTAAGTAATTTTCTTATTGATATTTCATCCTCAAAAGATGGTAAGATATGCGTTACGTTGGAGGACTGATCTGATAGTACATATGATGAATCAAAATATTCAGCATACGCTCTATTAACGTTTTAAAATGGACAAACGCCTTACCAATAAATACATTTCATGAATAAATAAACTGCATATGCACTAAAAGAAACTCACCTTCTCTGGAAGTGGATATCGATGGTAAATAAGCTTAGTGCATTTATTTCCGGTTTTCTCTTTTCAGCTTGCTGTTCATATACCGCATACCCAATCAAATTCTTCTATATCCTTTGGTATCCGTGACTATCTTCAGGTGTGAAATCCGTCCAGGATTTCTTTACTATGATTTTGTATCATTCTTTGCTATTATTTTGCTATTTTATTTTGCTATTTTATTTTGATTTAAATCACTTGATAATATCCATCACTATGTTTTGATGTCCTCAGTTTTTAAATAGCCATATGACCCTTTGATAGCCTTATTACCCGTAGGCCACCCTAGGTATTCTTACATATCCTTCTTTATGTCCTTTTTATATGAGGAATTGACCCAATTATTTAGTGGATTTAGATAATATCCTTGGGTATTATTCATCATCCTAACCTTCTCTTCTATTCCTCTCTGATATTGTTGTTTATTCACAATTGTCACGTCACCAGCCCTTCGGATCTTTGTTTACAAAATTTTGCTAATTAGCATAAAGTTTAAATTAAAAAAACCTGTAAAATAAGCTCATTACGTAAAMGCGCTTATTAAAAACTATAAACTACGAAAGTTTGAGGTCTTAACATGCAATATAGTTTATTAGATAGTAGCGTTTAAAGATGCCGAGTGGCAAAAGCGCTAAATTTGCTCATATAATCTCTCTAAAAATTGGAGTTTTTAAAACCGTTTGACGTAAAAAGTATTCCATATGGGAAAATCAAAATTGCGTGGAAAGCTTATTGTGACATGTTGTTTCAATATTCAGTGCTGATTTACTGATAGTTAGGTTAAAACGGTATATGCTTATGTAATGATATGCTAATGAACCGAAATCAAAACTACCAGACAAAGACTCGCAAGTTGGAGATGAGGAAAATGGAACGCAAGGCCAAAGAACAAGCACTAAATTTCGGAACTTTCTGTGTTTGTTGACGGTAAAGACGAAATTGACAGCTATATGATATAAGACGAAAGATTTGCTTGGCTACGATGGAATAATAAGACATCCTAGGCTTCAATAAAATTATAACTATTTCACTGGAAAAAATCGCGCGCTTTAAATGTTGTAAATTTGATGTAGATATGATGTAAGTGTCCAAAATTCTGAAAATTTGATTAAATGATTTCCATTAAATTTTACAGAATTTTGGACACATCATAATTAYATCAAATTTACAACCTTTAAAGCGCGCGATTTTTTCCAGTGTTTACTTTAGACTAYCGAGGACTGTAGAGAAATCGAGTACTGTAGGGTTGATGTCTTGGTGGACAGTCGGGCGGTTATCGATACGTTCAAGGGAGAAGGCAGTGGGAAGTCGACGGCTGAATGAGAACTRCAAAGGCGTTGTATGAATTGACTGTGGCAAGGAATTTRAAATTAGAGCTCGTCCGTTGTAAAKTTCCGATTTTAAGTTGTCCACAACTGTATGGCAGAAACCGGTAGCATAAATAGGGAGGTCARGAAGGCCACACCTTTGTGTGATGGCATTGGACACGAATGTGCAGTGCGACCGAAAAGGAGCCGCACTGCCTCATTATATGCCTTGGCCAACACTGAGATCTAACGGAGCCAACCTGTTCGTGAGTTGAGAATGACTTGAACATGAGTAACCCATTCTCCTCGCAGTGTCGGGCTCCCTGTGGGGCGGGGGACAGGGGGGCCCGCCACTAAGAACGGCTGCGAGGAGACTAGTAACCCATATGTTTTCCCGCCATTTTGCTTAATTGCGGYAGTCCTAAAGTTTATCTTGGGGTTTCACATCCCGTTTACCATGGTGGTTCCTGATTAGTTTTCTAGAAAGTAAGGTGTCCGTGTCTAATTGGACACTCGTCACAGGTTATTCAGTTGTGCTCAGCGAGAGACGAAAATGCACTATTTTTCCCTTTGAAACATGGGTTCTGTCCCGTCCGTCCCCGTCCCAAATCGATATATACCGGGCATTTTTTTCCAATTAAGTTGAAAAATGTTCCTTTAACAGACTTTTTGTGTACATTTATAAGTCAAGGAATGTTGTTCAGAAATAGTGATATATATACTCTCTCAGGTTTCGTGTTTCCTACGCAGTTTTGTGTGTATAATGRCTGCATGACGTCATTTCTAAGTCAAAATGTCAACTATTAGAAATAAGAAATTCTAACCGCTAACGGAAAGCAATTGCAATCTGCCATACTGGAAAAGGTTGTGTGAAGCTTACGTCTTCGAACWAAAGGAAAACTTCTTACGACTGAAAAGTGGTRTTTCAAACAAWATCACTGTGAAGCAGTGACATTACGTAAATTTGAACGGAGCTAAGTGAGTAAGAGAAAGCAACAGAATAAACATAAAACGAAGAAGAAGAATATTTAATATTTATATTGCGCATATTCTATAAAATAACCACGAGCATAACTATAAAAACTAACTATAGCAACAGTATACTTGTATCTGCCGTACTTGCCGTAATTAGTGTGCACACCAGTATATTAAAGGAGCTAGGCCTTACAAAGGTATACAGAAAGAAAACAACAAGAACGAGGACTGGAATTAACATAGACGATGTGTCGCAGTGCTAAAGAAACTGTCCCATCCTTATTGTGTAGTTGCGCTGGTGTATGCCAAACCATGTACTAGTCGAGACACGATAAAATTCTAAGACCGATTCTATTTCCTACTATCACTATACAACATGATGAATCCAAAGCTTGGTATATAAATAAAAAAAGCTCTCATAATAAATTAAGAAATAAATGATATTATAACAATATTAATAATAGAGTAAAATACATAAATTATGCACATTTTGACTCATATTCCAAGTATAAAATATATCAGAAATTACTTTTTTGAAGTTGCCTAGCACAACTACTTTCTAAAAACAATATTGACGATGATATGCCATGATTTCTGATATATTTTATATATACTTTAATAATAATAATAATAATAATAATAATAATGATAATGATGATGATGATGATGAAGAATGATGAAGGAATCATATCATAGAGCTTAGATACGCGTTTAAGGCGAACGCCAAACATCAAAACTGATCACGTGATCACTGTTTCTCTCCGTTCTTTCGCGATTATGTGTAAAATAGATCACTTTTTCGTGTATTAGCGCATCAATATTTCCTTTTGAAGCGTTTTTACGATTGTAAATTTGTAATTTTGAGACAAAGCAAAAAAAAAAAAAATTTGACGTTTGTCATTTGCAGTAAACGTGAATATAAAACTCATAAGAGTTATAAAGCAAAGTATTCACAAAAACCGCCACGAAAGCGAAACAAGAGGAGTGAAGAGGAGTGAAATAATAGTAACATAAACATAAAGATGCCAGAATAATAGTGATAACGCGGATAAGCAAAACGGAAACCAAAAATAACCTGCATAACATTTACAGATTGTGTAGGAAACTAAGAATGTTTATATTAAAAGAAAGAAGAAGACAACCCAGTAAAACTGAGAGTTCAGCTTCTTGGGTTTTTATATAAAAGGCCATATAATGATGGAAGGCTTGATTGCATTTCCTTGTCTTTGTCGTCTGTAGTATAAACCATGCCTTAGTTTGATGACAACAATGGAAGACATCCTTTATTTCTTAATGGTATGTCAGGAATGCCTTGACCAAAGACTGTTATCAGCTGACGATGGACTCTACAAAAAAATCAATAATAAAATAATTATATCCACGACAAGATACTTGCCTGGGCTGCCTGAGAATAAATTAAATCAAACCATCACTTAAAAAAGACTAAATTTGCTAGAGATAACTGGACATTGCTTTATTTATGGCCTGCATTTACTACTAAGGAATTTGTCTTTGCCGGCCGTTTACCTGACAAGTACAGAGGGCTCGTCTAAAAGTTCTCCATCGACATTCCATATYCCAACAGAGCGGTCTTTACTAGCACTATTGATTAATGTGGAACGGCGAGTAACAGATACCGACCCAGTCTCTTCAGCTTGATGTTGTTGTTGACAATCTGTAATTGCCCGTATGTGACATTGCTTTACGCGAGAAACGTCAACAAAGTCGAAATCGAACTATAAAATGAATAATGATCAAACTATAAAAACCTACATTATGAGTTTGTGTTATAATTGAWTACGTTCGATTTTGCTTATTCGATTTGAAATGACTGTCAAATAATTTAGCRGGGAATTCAGAAATACATACTCTAATATTTACCTGATCTTTTGAGTTAAAATTTCTCTTAACATGTGAATACATCTGTTTCGGTGAGCAAGACCGAACAATAATCATGTCTGTATATCCATCCCCTAGGTGACAGCATGGAGAGGGGCCATCTGGAGATATATCACATGGACTGGGGAGAGTTATCAGACTGACTCCTACAACACTACCTTTGAAAGTCTTCCATTCTTCTGAAAAAAGGAAGGATAGCATACAGATTAATGTGTGGTTTTCTRTTTTTTTATTCTACGTTCCTTTTCAAGTGCAACTGAACTCAATTTTTTCCAAAGATGAGTTAGACCACCGTGGAAAAATGTTTTTTGTGCCTTAATAGAAGTCGCTTAAAAGCTCTTCTTTCTTGAAACGTTTCGATAATAGTCTTCTTCACGATTCACATTATGTGTCAGTTCTTCCAAAGGCGTTCAAATCTCTAATTTGCCAGATCAATGATTTTTACCCAGAAACCAGTTCGGGCTAGTCGCGTTTCGTGAAAACCGTTCGACGACAACCTTTTGTCAATCGACTATATATGTCAGTATAATTCAATCTTCTGTCATAAAAGTGTTTCCGGATACGAGGGTCTTACGTATCACGACTGACGGCTAAAAATTTTGCTTATTCACGACTCACAATTACTTTTTTTGAATCAGGGTTAACTGAGGCATTTTCGGAAAGGCGTTCAAATCTCTAATTTGCCAGGTCATTGATTTTTACCCAGAAATCAGTTCGGGCTAGTTGCGTTTCGTGAAAACCAGTCGACGACAACCTTTTGTCAATCGACTAAATATAGGGCCGGAAAGGTACGCTACTGAGTTGCTGCCAAAGAATCATATACTTTCTAGAGTATTGAAAATTTAGAATAATTTCTAACGCATTGTATATAATCTAAAAACTATACTTCTTTCAACAAGCAGTTTTACATTTAAATTGCAAAGTACATCTATGCTTAATTATAGTGTATTATTTTAATAAAAATAAAAGGGATAAGTTAATAAAGGAAAGGGCCTACAAAAAGGAAGGCTGTCTATTTACTCGGTTGAGATTGAACACCCAGCGCAGGCGGTCCAGCTACGGAGTCTAATTTTAAGTTATGGTAGGGGCGCATGGCAGGGAAAATCCGAAAACTTCAAAGTTTCGGTCTTTACCGGACCGCGTTTTGTATCCATTTCCTAAGAATCAGCTGCTGTAATGAGCATACATACCAAATGTTTCTGCTGGCGATTCTATGCCACTGCACACTTCACATCTAGAAAAATAAGGGACAATTAAGCATCGACTACTACCCTGTTTTCCGAAAGTAATTGTTGCAGTTGTTGATGWCGTCTCTGTTTGCTTATTCCGAGTCTGTCATTCACTGCTTTGCCTGTTGTCTTCGTTACTTGGCAACAAAAACTAACCTACCCAGTTCTACATCTTTGATTGTCACGAGGGTGGCAGTTCGTATTGGTGCTTAACAGATAATTTATCTCGACATCATACGACCTGAAACAATTCCAAATCCATACACGATAGTATAACAATGCTGAGCTTACAGTATGAGGAAAGTTCGACGCAGAATACGATTAATACCATGCCTATAGCAGCCTGTTCATCATTGAACTACTAACCTGAGCTTACACATCCGCTTAGCTGCAGCCCATTTGTACCTGCTGGGACCCATCCATCTTGAACGTTCACTTGATTTCAATACATCTCCAAGGAAACCATAAGCAGCCGAGAAAGAAAATCTGATTAGCCTATTTGCATTTTCCAGAGAACAGATATCAAGTGTTTGAGAATGGCCTGCAAATTGAAAATAATAAACAGTTACCCATGACAATCGAATACAAAAATGTCCCGAGCTATATCTACTAGATTAAAAAAATGTCCAGAGAATATCATGTCAAGTGCTGGAGGTCAAGTTGCCATGGTATTGTTTGGAAATGGTCGGCTATACTGACCTAATATGATATGAATTGCTGAAGTAACTGGATCATTGACACCTTGGGCTGAATTTATGATAACATCCGTAGAGCCTGGACAAGGAATAGCACAGATAAGAATGTGACAAACAACAAACAAAAACAAGTGCAACCAGTTAGAACACAGCATGCCAATCTGATTCGTTTATGGATTTGAGTTGTCATAATTACAGGGAGACTGTGATAATTTACTGTTTACATATACACCTACTTGCGAAAACGTTGTCATAAAAAATAGGACATTTGTATTTTAGTAAAAAGGAATAAATTAAAAAGACCGACAAAAGAAGATCACTAAGGCTGAACGCTTTCTTTTGTCTTGTTTTAATTATTCCTTTTTACTAAATTCGAATGTTCTATTTTCTATGACAACGTTTCTGCAAGTAGGTGTATTTATAGAAAAACGAATATACTTACCAGCTGGAATAATTCCTACTGGAATGTCAAGTTTAATGGCTTCAAAGTCATTGGGAAGGGCATCATTGATTATGTCAATACCATGATTAAGGTGGTGTTTTTCTAGAAGTCCATTAACAACTTCATGGACGATACCATCGCCACCAACACAAACCACACTATAATACACGCATCATTTATCAATATAAAATTTAGGTWACASYAAATGCAAATAGCGGAGCTCCGAAAGCATGYGCATCTGGATWGATAAGAATACCTAGTACTACCATTTCAAGGAAAGGAATACRGCAGACCTTCGTGGTTTACCACTTTCTCTTATCWATGGAGTCTCCACTTGCACAAATTTATAAYGTACTTTTTTTTATTATTGCGAAACTTCGGCTGCAAGGAACTTGGCTAGGTTGTGTGTTATATCTATATAAAAAGATCCTAAAATTTTCATCAGAATAAAAACGATTTGAAAATTTTCTAGAATATCGAGTGCTTTTGACAACAGTGCAATTGGTAAATAGTATGTACTTCACTACTTTTGTTGGCAAAAAATACAATCCGAATATATCATTGACCATCATATGACTAATTAGTAAATAAACCCCTTCTATCGGCTAATTATGTCCTCGGACGAGAAATGGTCCTGAAAATATCACATTTGCCCTCGAAGCGAACATTTGATGGTAATTTTCTCAAAGTAAAATACGTTCTCAGCATACTTAGACTACGTTCACACGGGGCCGGTCTAGTTTGAGGACACCTCGGTTCCCACTGTTCTCACRGAACCGTCCACATTTCGGTACGGATTGAAACAGTGTTCACACGGATCCGTTCATGCTTCGAAGTGACCCGTCCTCAAAGTGGAACGGCTTTTTAGCCGGCCCCAAACCTGAACACTTTGCCAGCCTCAGATGAGGCCAGTTCCAGAATTCCAGTGTGAACGCGCGCCTAAACTAGAACGCAGGCTAGTAACGAGGTCTTGGGATCAGGGATCAGCGTCATTTTTTGGACTATTTTGGGATCAGGGATCAGGATTTAGGMCCAGGATCCAGATAAATTGGATTTAACCTGGGATCAAAGTTTTTTCAACTGGGATCGGGATCAATGATATTTTTCAACGATTTTGTAAGGGGATCAGGGCTTAAAATGTACGGAGTTTTGGGATCTGGATCACGTTTTTAGGCCGTTTTGATCCGGATCAACAGCAAAATAAAATACCTCGTTACTAGCCTGAGAACGGTTCCGAACGGAAACGGCCCCKTGTGAACGGGACCTTAGTCGACTTATTTGTATTCCTAGATGTTGTTTTGTCAACTAGTTTTTTTATTCTCATTATCGGAGCTCTTTAAAAAGCGGATTTGATCACTTTATACATRCGCAAACATTTGTTCATAATTCGTGAATTATTTCCGTAATAAAAACATTTAAAAAAGTCATTAAAATGTGTTAGACAATTTCTGCCCTTAACATAACAACAGCGATAAGTATAAGGACAAGCTTAAAGTAATTAGGGACAACAGAATAAACAAAGAAAAACAAAAACAAGTCCCTTTTGTCTTTCTATATGTATGAATATAGAGTGCACTAACTTACCCATCATAGCATTCAAGAGAAGTCTTTGATAATAACTCCCATGCATGCCCTGCCCTTTCTGTAGCTAATTATAAGAAGTGAATGTTAGAKAAAGTTAATATGCCATGAGAAACACCTTCAGTAAAAACAAATTTCTGATGTATTAAAAATGTTCTTATCMTTTCAAAGACGATAAATCAGTGAAGCTAAAAAAAACATGAAGTTATAAGTGTCGTTTATACCGAAATGGTGGAAACTAGCGGTAAGAAACAGTTGTGTAAAAACTTTGATAAATTTAACACCGTAAAAAAGCAGGTGAAATAACTTACTGACGTTTCGGACGTTACTTAATCCTTCGTCGGAGATAAAAACGTCCGAAACGTCGTCAGAAAGTTATTTCCCCTACTTACTTACGGTGTTAAATTTATCATTTTACACGACTGTTTCTTAAGAAACAGTCGTGTAAAATGATAAATTTAACACCGTAAAAAAGCAGGTGAAATACACCCTTTTAATAAGTCCCGAGGTATTGTTTTTTCCGCACTTCACGTCAAATTTATTCTTTTGAAATTTTTACAATACAAAAGGAATTCAAAAGAATAAATTTGCCGTCAAGTGCRGAGAACGTAATACCTCGGGACTTATTAAAAGGGTGTATAACTTACTGACGTTTCGGACGTATTAATCCTTCGTCGGAGACTAAAAACGTCCGAAACGTCGTCAGTAAGTTATTTCACCTACTTACTTACGGTGTCAGAAGTATACAGTTATGTACTTCTGACGGTGTTAAATTTATCTTTTTACACAACCATAAATTATGCCGACTGAAATTTGAAGTGCCTCGATTTGAAAACTTTGTCATTCCGGCCTCCAGACCCGGAAATATGATTTTCATGTACCTTTTTTTGGTAAAGCATGCATTGAACAGCAAGCATCGAATAAATGAAATTTGAAACGACCACGACAACGAACCATGTACCCAATCGTGTTCTTCACGGTTACCTACGCCATCTTGAAAGATAGCCGTGCCTTTGCATCGATGCGAGACGAACGTTGAGCGTGCAATGATAGAAACTTTCTTTCACACCTACAGACAATTATTCACGGGTGTYTATCATTGCACGCTCAACGGTCGTTTCGCTTCGATGTAAAGGCACGGCTACTTTTCAAGATGGAGCAGGGAACAGTGAAGGAGACTATTTCTGTTACTTAATATGTAAAGTACAGAGAGAATAAAAAGTAATAATTATCGTGATGGAAAACACTTCTCGTCATGGGTTTAGGTGCACTTTAAGTCTCGTGCCAACCTGTTGCCATAGTGACGGTAACAATTACTGGACGTCAGGTAACAGTAATACAATAAAGCCAATCATTGCCAATATTAATTTACGACTTTCCATACGCAGGTTCAGTGACCACGAACAAAGCATTGAACCGAGGCGTCAAGGAACTACTAGATCATTAGATCATTTTTTTATGTTCTGCGTACCTTGACGCCTCGGTTCAATGCGTTGTTTGTTCGTGGTCACTGGACCTGCGTATGGAAAGTCGTGAATCTTACTTATAACGTCTGTCTTTATCCCTGCCTTCCTGAAAAGTGGAGCTACCAGGCTATCATACACCATGGGTGCCTTGCCTTTCTTGCTATGAGGATTGATGAATACTTTCAATTTGCTCGGCCGGCCATGGAGACCTAGCACAAATTAATAATCACACACTTGCAAGTATCAAACCTGAAAAAAGCTATCCATTTCCAGTGATTATATTTCTCCAGCAACCTCATCCCTCTTCAATAGTGTTTTCCTTTTCCCTTCCCCGTTGTGCTTTAACAAGAATTAAATCCATGACCACCAACCGTTGTTGGTCTAATAGCTCAGTTTTTAGAAAACTTTGCAAAAAGGTCATGATTGAAGCCCTTGACCTTATAGGAGTTCTTTACTAATAATTATTTATTACTCATAAACATGTCGGATTTAAAAAAATGTATAGATAACT